AATTGTGATAACACAATGAAATATATATGTGGCAGAGAACCCCGTTGTCCTTAGACAAAGGGTTCCCTAGAATACAGCAAATAAAGTAATGAAAGACAAACTTTTTTATTCATTGTACATTCATGTATATACGTTTTTCTTCTTATCAGACATATGTTTTAAGTTGCTTGGTGAAGTTTTCAATGACTTCTCTTCATTTAAATGGTAATCTAAGAAGTCAAGAAACTACGCTGAGGTTTTACATGACGTTGCTAAGCCACATAAGCTGGTGTGTCTAAGCCTATGGGTACGATGGTGGTCGTGTTCATAACTGATTCAACAGCACGCCTCAGGGGAACAGATTGGAGGGTAAAGAGAAGGCAGTGAAAGATTCCTCTACTCCTCTGAACTTCAACTACATCTGCCTACAAGAGATAAGACATGAAGCATGGAGTGAGCATTGGGTGTTCCACGCAGCCTCCAGTGGTATGTTAACGCATTTAGAATTTGGAGAGAAGGCCATGAGAGAGGTGTTCTGAGATTAATTAGGGTTTCTGACTTTGCATCACCATCAAAGACCAAATCCCCTGAAAATGAATTTATACTGAGCCATGTACAATTTTTCACGGTTTCCTAGATCTTTATTCAGATTACCGAGCTGAACAATTGTATCACACGGATTTGCTGTCGCTGAAACCACGGAAGGAATCGGGCTTTGGGATGTGGGTCGTGGTGAGCAAAACATGAATATTTAGAGAGCAGAATGTGAGGGAAGATGCCCTTGTGACTTGAAGAAATCATGGAAATCTATCTTTCACAAATCTATGGGATTTAGAGCCCAGATCATATGTATTTTTTAAAGTTTATTTTTGAAAGACAGTGCAAGGTTGGGGGGGAGGGGCAGGAGAGAGGGAGAGAGAATCCCAAGCAGACTCCTAACTGTCAACACAGAGCCCACCATGGGGCTTGAACCCATGAAACCGTGAGATTGTGACCTGAGCTCAAACTGAGAGTCAGACGCTTAACTCACTGAGCCACCCAGGTGCCCCTAGATCCCAGATCATATTTAAATAGGAATCTGAGGGGCAGAGGGAGAGGGTCAACATTCTAGTTTTCATTATAAATCTGTGCACATCTTACTACTTTAGTCTATATTTTCTTTCCTTTTACATTTACAAATGCAATGAGTGATGAAATATTCTCAGAAGAAATTTTCTCAAATTTTTCTTAAACAAATGAGCAAATGAAAGCTTAGATTATTTGTAGGTTTTGTTAAACTACTCAATTGCCTTTGTCAGGCTTGGAGGAGAAAAAGAAACAGTAATTGCAAAGCAAAATGTGAGGTGCTTTAATATATGTGTGTGCAAGGTTGAAAGGGAGCATGTAAGGGGAGAAAAGTTGTTCAAGTTCACTGAATGTCTACTATGTCCTTTCTGTGTCCAGTATACTTTATGCCATCTCATTTAATAGCCTTCCAAGCAAAATGAGGAAAGTATGTGTTTCCACAAGACCTATAAAGGAAACCAATGAAGGGAGTTCGTGTAACTTTCCAGTAGTCAAAACAACTAGCAAATTCTGGACCCAAGATTAGAATCAGGTCTTCATGATGCCAAAAATGGCTCTTTCCAAAAGTCCAGAAGGCATGGACCAATGATGCTGAAGGTATTCAAGCCTCCAGCGTGATTAAATAAAACTGAGGGGATGTCTGCTAGGGTCTGTAGATAAGCTTCTCAATCTTACAGGAATGAACAGGAATGGCTCTGCACAGAGAGCTGAGACAGGCACACATTTTGGTTGTCATAATTGGGCAAATTTATATAACAAATCCAGAGAAACATACTGACTCTAACCAGTAAGTGGATCAGTGCTCCAGCCAGTGAATGACTTCAAGGTATAAAATTTTAAAAACATAATACAGCTTCATGCACAAAATCTTCAAGGAATATATAGTTCTATTTTAGTTCATACATATGCTATGATTCATAAGTAGGTTTTAAAGTGATACACGTACCAGAATGTGTGTATGTGTGTGTGTGTGTGTGTGTGTGTGTGTGTGTATGGATAAATGGGTAGATAGAAATAGATGATAGATAGATAGAAAGATAGATAGATAATGGATAGATAGATAATGGATAGATAGATAGATAGAAATAGATGATAAATAATAGAGAAAGAGAGAAAGAAAAGAAAGAAAGAAAGAAAAAGAAAGAAAGAAAGAAAGAAAGAAAGAAAGAAAGAAGGAAAGAAGAAAGAAAGAAAGAAAGAAAGAAAGAAAGAAAGAAAGAAAGAAAAGAAGGAAAGAAAAAGAAAGAAAGAAAAATGCCAGGCATAATGCCAGGCAATGATTATTGTAAGCATTCTCCATGTATAACCTCATTTGATCACTGTAACATTCCTACAGGTAAGTAGAATTTTGCTCTCAATTTTACAGAAGGGAGAACTGAGCATCAGAGTTTAAATAGCTTTCTAAATGTCACACAAGTAATAACTGCATTTGAACCCATATAGACTGAATAATGTGTGTGTGTAGGTAATTACTATTAATGATTTGGCTTTCTATAAAGATGAGAAATGAGATAATCCCAAGAAAGAAATATAGAGTGCTATAAGGCGATGGATATTATTTTCCATGTGTTCCACTCAATATGCCACATAGGATATTTTTATTCTTTAAGGACAAAAATATTTTGCCAATTTCATGACACTCCTTTGCTTATTATGGATGAGTCAACCTCCCACTTATCCTAATGAATCTATTTTTATTTCTGGTCTGAACTGGTTTCACAGTTTACTCATACCACTTCTTCTTGGTTCAAATGAGCATTGCCAATCTTTCCACTACAGTTGGACGTAAAAGCCTGCTGATTCTTTTTCTTTGTTAGCGATGCATGGAGGTAGCCTTCTAGTTCTCTCCTGTTGATCTGGATCCATCACAGACGCCATGGTCACCCCAGAGCTGCGTGATGAGAGGCATGGTAACCGGATATGCAGGAAAAGTAAGTTTCCTTGGGTGACGGAGAATGAAGGGAAAATCAATAAAAAACAAAATATAGGACAGTCTAAAAATGCCGAACTCTTTCCTAAAGGAGGAAAACTAGTCAAGTTTATGAGGTAGAGGAAGCAGCTCTGTAAAGTAATGCAAGATTGGGGAGAACGTGTGGCGTTTTATATCTGTAAGAGAGTGAGCATAAGCTTGTGACAATGAAAATATTTGGGGTGAATTTTATGGTGTGTGCATCATATGCCAATAAAAAGGGTTTTTTTTTTTTAAATGTACTCCTCCAACAGAGAAAAGTTATTTGCCACAGATTTGCCCAATCCTGTAACGGAGATTGCATTCACTCTCTCAACTAGCACAGACCACGGATGGATTGAAGTAGCTGATGTCTTGCTAAAGTGAGTGAAGATATTTCTAAATGTTTGCGCTTGGGTCAGGTGGATTTTCAGAATCGTTCAGTGTCCAGTGTCTTTATTGTTTCCCCGACATCATCTGGATGAAAGTTGAGAAAATCTGGAAGATGGCTTGAAGATACTTATTAGGGCTGAAAAGGGCTTTTGAAGTGTAAGGATTGACTGAGCCTAAAAATTATGCTAATTTTAACTGGATTGAAATGCAAACAGGCAAACTAACAAATGACAAGGAGGCACAATGAAACGAAACAAAACGCCACCGTTCGCGACAATTGATAGGGTTTCTGTTAGACAACACGAGTGAGCCGTTTTTGCCAAATTGCATGATAGGAATAGGAAAGCTTTCAAAACTTCATGAAAAAGACAGTGAAGAGAAACAAATCATTTCTGCAGTTTACCGGTATGAATTCCGATAGCAGCTATCCAGCGAGTCTCTCAATAAACAAATCTAGTAATCTTAAAAGTGGAGGAGACTTCAGTAGTCACTTAATAAAACTTCTCACTTCGTGTGACATTTCTAGCTACAACATTTCTAGCAGAAATTTCTACGCCAGAATACTTGTAGCGATAACATCTCTATCTTGCAAAGCGGTCTGTTTCAATTCTGAGCAATTTTAATTAGAAGCGTCTTTAGCAAATGCAATGTATTTTTCACTTAAAAGCAGGTCAAAGGCTAAATTTTATTTTGTTTTTTACCACAATAAAATATATTCAGTCTTTTCTTTTCAGCATGGCTTATTGAGCACTCATCACGCACACTCGGGAGGCCTGGGTGATTTCTTGAGCACCAGAAAATGTAATAATTGTCCGAAGGCCAGAAGGAAGGAAGCAAAAGCAGAAATCCAAAACTTGCCTTGAGCATATTTTCTTTTTTTGTAGCCTCACGCTGCTGTATCTCCCAAATGCAAGCCCTGAGCCTTATCACTCTTAGCATTCATGCACACTCATGCACACACACACACCGCTCACATGTATAAACTAGCCTTAGATCTCCACAGGGCTTTCTAGAAGTCCCTTATGTTGATTTCCCAAATCTCTGTCTTTCCCCTGCCTCTGAACTTTCCTCAGTTATTTTTTTTTAAAGGGTGGAAGCAGATATCGGCGGATTGCCATTGTCTCATCCACTAAGGAATTTGTTCAAGAATGGATTGCTAACAGAATGACTAATTTTTCTTATCAGATAGAATTTGTGTCCTTATGACACTAAATAATTCCCTTTGATATCATTGAAAACTAACAAAACAGAGGCACCTGGGTGGCTCAGTCAGTTAATCGTCAGATTAACTTGATTACGGCTCAGGTCATGTCTCACGGTTCCTGAGTTGGAGCTCCGAGTTGGGCTCTGCACTGACCCTGTAGAGTCCGCTTGGGATTCCCCACACGCCCTCTCTCTCAAAATAAATTTAATAAAAAAGAGAGAAAGAAAAATAGTGGGACACGTGGATGGCTTAGCTGGTCAAGCATCCGACTTCGGCTCAGGTCATGATCTCAAGGTTAGTGAGTTTCAGGTCACTGTGCTGACAACCCAGAGCCTGGAACTTGCTTCAGATTCTGCGTCTCCCTCTCTCTCTGCCCCTCCCCCGCTCACACTTTGTCTCTCTCTCTCTCTCTCTCTCTCTCTCTCTCTCTCTCTCAAAAATAAGCATTAAAAAAGAAAAATAGCACAACAATAAATGTAAGTGATAAGTAGAAAGTTTAGGGGCGTGGTATACAGAGGCGTCCCAGAAAGAGTGAAGTATAAAGGGACGGGGTTATTTTTAGTAGTAGCAGAAGAAAAAGTATCATAAGAGAAGAAACCTATGCTCCTCAAATTGGAAAAAGCATGCACAGTGATGAGCAGAAAGATTAAAAGGATGTTTTTGGTAATTTGATAACTGCTACTGAATTTCAAAACATCAAGTACAAAGAGGAAATCTTGGAAGCCTTCAAAGAGAAGGAAAACACGCAAACCGGATGAACCCTAAGAAACCGAAAATCCTCCTCTGGATGGTAAGTTTCTCATCAGCGACAGCAGCTTCGTAAAGAGAATAGTGCAACTTCTTCACGTGCATAAAGGGGTTTTCATTCAGGTTTTTCACTCAGTCTAGCAGATGTTTGAGCAAATTTTCAGATGTAAAAATTTTAAAATGATTGCGACGCGTCTCCCGAAATGAATTCACAGGAAACAAAATCAAACAAGAAAAATACAAAAAGACGTAGGGCACAAGAACAATTAAAAAGCCAGAGGACCGAAACCACTAAGTACAAATAAGTGATTTTTTTTTTATAGTACTGCAATGACCTCGGATGAAATCATTAATCTCTCTGAGCATCAGTGTCTGCATTTATAAAATAAGGATAATTCATCTTGTCTCACGGACGTTGTTATGAGGAATGAGTCAGGTTTTCCGTGAAGAGTATCTGGTTCATTGCCCGATAAGTATTCAGTGCTTAGGAAAAGGTAACTCTGCGTATATATACACACTTATGCATATTTGGCCTTACACACAGATGGATGAAGCAATACACTGAAATCTTAAGCACTCTGCCATGCTACCTTCATATCCCTGATTATCTTCTAGTTAGTGTTCTTTAACACAGATATGGCACATGAAGAAGGGATGCTCTCCCAACGGCCAGGTGAAGCTAACAAAGCGACTGTTAATATGTAATTGGCTAGACTCTGGATTCAGAGAAAACATACATTGAAACATAATTCATTGTTAACATGAATTAACAGCCGAAGTTTTGTTTTCCCTCATTCTTGCAGGTCCATACCTGGACGAGATTTCTGCAGTTTGCTGTCCTCACCTTCTTCCACTAACCTCATCAGAATCCTTCATATCTTAACTCTTTCCATCGTGCAGCGATGGGAGTCTTTCTCCTCTTTACCCTCGTGAAACGGATCTGTGACCATACAAAGCTGACTGATTTATTTGGCCAAATGTATTACATTTTATTTATTTATTTTTTTGGTAACACTGATGTCCAGCGATCTAAAATTCAGAATCATTTTGAAAATTCTGTCAGTGTTTGCTTCCTATATTTTGGATATCTGGTGTCTGGAATGTATATGTTTATAATTTGGTTAGATTGCATTTTATTTTTTTTTTAACCTTTTTTTAACGTTTATTTATTTGTGAGACAGAGAGAAACAGAGCACGAACAGGGGAAGGTCAGAGAGAGAGGGAGACACAGAATCGGAAATAGGCTCCAGGCTCCGAGCTGTCAGCCCAGAGCCTGACGTGGGGCTCGAACTCACAGACCGTGAGATCGTGACCTGAGCCGAAGTCGGACGCTTAACCGACTGAGCCACCCAGGCGCCCCTAGATTGCATTTTAAAATAGTACGCTTGCAAGCTAGCCAGGAACCTTATTATATTAATTCTTCTATTTCCTCTCCTCACAAACCCCATGGATTGGGATTATAATGTAAAAAGATGGCCTTGTCCAAGTACTGCTTTTTTCATAGCCTTTAAGGTTGAATTCTGGACCAGAGAAGCTTTCCTGTGAGGTAGAAACAGAAAGGGGCTGCCGACAGTAGTCTGTTGTGTTTATAACTCACAGTCTTGCACTCCAAGGTCATGAGGTCTCCTCAAATTAAAACATTGGCCTTCAGTCATGATACTATATGAGGTCACTGATGCCTGGAGAACATGTAAAGTAGCTGGGGACCTGAAAAAGGTAACCCCTCTAAAACGCAATAATTCCTAGAATATTCCAAGAAGAAAAATCGAAGAGTTATTATGAGAATTAAAACATAATAAAAACACTCAACAAGATTAGGAAAACCAAGTGGAAATATTAAGTATGGAAATATATTTGAAATAAAGGACATTTTGTAGAGTTACTCAGTAGAATTGATGCCATTAAGAATGAATTAGTCTAAAACACAGTAGAAAAGAAAACGAAATGGAAAATACAAAAGAAAAGCAGAGCGATATGAAATGCAAGTAGAAATGCCAACTCAAGAAAGTAAGAGAAGGAGGATCTGAGAAGGAGAGAGAGATGGAGAGAGACACACACACACACACAGAGAGAGAGAGAGAAAGAGAGAGATGAAATGGAGGATAAATTAAAGAAAGCCAAACACAGAATTATGCGGTGCCTGGATGGCTCAGTTGGTTAAGCATCCATTCGGCTCAGGTCATGATCTCACTGTTTGTAGGTTTGAGCCCCATGTTGGGCTCTGTGCTGACGACTCAGAGCCTAGAGCCTCCTTCAGATTCTGTGTCTCCCTCTCTCTCTGTTCTTCCCCTATTTTCACTGCCTCTGTCTCTCAAAAACATGAATAAAGGTAGGGGCGCCTGGGTGGCGCAGTCGGTTAAGCGACCGACTTCAGCCAGGTCACGATCTCGCGGTCCGTGAGTTCGAGCCCCGTGTCAGGCTCTGGGCTGATGGCTCAGAGCCTGGAGCCTGTTTCCGATTCTGTGTCTCCCTCTCTCTCTGCCCCTCCCCCGTTCATGCTCTGTCTCTCTCTGTCCCAAAAATAAATAAAAAACGTTGAAAAAAAACAAAATTAAAAAAAATAAAAAAAACATGAATAAAGGTTAAAAAATAACAAAAAAGAGAGAGCCAAACACAAAATTAAAATTGGTATTAGGGGGTTCCTGGATGGCTCAGGCAGTTAAGCATCTGACTCTTGATTTCAGCTCAGGTCATGATCTTACAGTTCGTGGGTTCAAGCCCAGAGTCAGACTCTACACAGACAGCACCGGGCTGCCTGGGATTCTCTCTCTCCCTCCCTCTCTACCCCATCCCCTTCTCTCTCTATCTCTCTCTCACAAAAAAATAAACATTTAAAAACCATAAATATGAAAATTTAATGAAATATTTTGAAAATGATTCATCAGTTGTTACAGGTTGAATTCTGCCCCCCACAAACTCATAGGTTGGCGTCCAAACCCCCAGTATCTCAGACTGTGATCTCATTTGGAGATCGAGTCTTTATTAAATTAAAACGAAGTCAGTGGGGGTGGACCCCAATCCATTATGACTGATGTCCTTATTAAAAGGGGAAATTTGGAGATAGACTCACATACAGGGATAATGCCCTATCAACATAGTGATAACTATAAGCCAAAAAAAAAAAAAAAAAAAAAAAAAAAAAGCCTAGAACAGATCCTTTCCTTAAAGCCCCCACAAAGAACCAACCCCACCAACACCTTAGTTTCAGACTTCCAGCCTCCAGAAATGAGACACAATAAATATCTGTTGTTTAAGCCACCCAGTCTGTGGTGCCCCATTAGGGCAGTCCTAACAAAGTGAAATACCCGTGCATCTATCAACTTAGATAACAGAGGATCAATAGATTTGGGGGAGAGAGAAAATGCCAAAACGAAACGTGAAAAAAGAAATAATTAAAGTAAATGTGGAAAGGGCACCTGTGTACCTGGGTTGAGCAACCAACTCTTAAATTCCGCTCAGGCCGTGGTCTCACGGTGCGTGAGATCGAGCACCGCTTCCGGCCCTCGCTGGCAGCACGGAACCCGCTTGGGATTTTCTCTCTCTGTCGCTGCTCATCCTCCACTTGTGCTCTTTCTCTCTCTTTCTCTCAGAAATAAATAAATAAGCAGTTCTTTAAAAAGACACCTTTCCCCTTTTACTGTGATCATGAAACTGAAGGAAACCAGAATGCGTATCCCCAAATATGTCTCTTTGACATAAAAAATATTCTGCACCGAAAGCAATCAGGAAGCAATGAACACGGGAGAAACTCACCCTACTCCACCTTTTCCACCTAAAGATATAAATTCTCCTTTCACTACACCAATTCTTATTAGCCCCTGGAAAGCAAACCGTACTCCATTAGCTTCCCACAGAGCGCCACCTTTGGAAGAAGACTAAACCTGCTTTTCCTTCTGCTGTTACTTCTCTCCAAAAGTATTGTTCACTGTGGAAGATGCTAAGTAGGCTGGCTTTCTAAAATCCCCTTGGATTTCCTCTTCGTTTTGGCTTCTCCCATGTGATGGGTCAGTACCTTGTTTTTCCCTTATTAATCTTTTTGTTGAAAAGCCCAGCCGAGGGGTGCCTGGGTGGCTCAGTGGGTGAAACCTCCGAGCCTGGAGACCGCTTCCGATTCTGTGTCCCCTTCTCTCTCCGCCCCTCCCCCACGTGTGCTCTGGCTCTCTCTGTCTCTCAAAAATAAATAAATGTGGGGCGCCTGGGTGGCGCAGTCGGTTAAGCGTCCGACTTCAGCCAGGTCACGATCTCGCGCTCCGTGGGTTCGAGCCCCGCGTCGGGCTCTGGGCTGATGGCTCGGAGCTTGGAGCCTGTTTCGGATTCTGTGTCTCCCTCTCTCTCTGCCCCTCCCCCGTTCATGCTCTGTCTCTCTCTGTCCCAAAAATAATAAATAAACGTTAAAAAAAAATAAAAAATAAATAAATAAATAAATAAATAAATAAATGTAAAAAAAAAACTTTTTTAATAAAAATAAAATAAATAAATAAATAGCTTTCATTCTTTTTATGCCACTGTTTTCCAGAGTGGCTGTGCCAGCTTGCATTCCCGCCAACCCGGTAAGAAGGGTCCCCGTCTTCTGCATCCTCACCAACACCTGCGGTTTCCTGTGTTATTCATTTTAGCACGTTCTGACAGAGTGAGGTGATATCTCATTGCAGTTTTGATTTGCATTCCCCTGGGGATCAGTGATGTTGAGCATCTTTTCATGTGTCCGTTTGCCATCTGGACGTCTTCTTTGGGAAATTGTCTATTCATGTCTTCTGTCCATTTCTAAAATGGATTATTAGGGGTTTTTTTGGAGGGGAGGTTGAGTTATATAAGTTCTTTATATATTTTGGAAGCATTTAGTCTACTTACATTCAAAATAATTGTTGATAGACATGTATTTATTGCCATTTTATTACTTGTTTTGTAATTGTTTCTAGAGATTTTTTCTGATCCTTTCTTGTCTTTGTCACTGTTGGTCTCTCCTTTGCATTTAAAGAGTCCGCTTTAGTATTTCTTGCAGGGCTGGTTTGTGGTCATGAACTCCTTTAGTTTTTGTGTATCTGGGAAATCCTTATCTCTCCTATTCCAAATGATAGCCTTGCTGGATAGAGTATTCTTGGCGGCAGATTTTTCCTAGTCAGCATGTGGAATGTATCATGCCCTTCCTTTCTGGCTTCCAAGTTTCTCCTGGAGAGATCTGAATCTAGCCTGAAGGTTCTTCCCTTGTAAGTTAAGGACTTCTTTTGTCTTGGTGCTTTTAAGATTTTTTCTTTACCCTGTATTTTGCAAGTTTAATTACAATGGGCTTTGTTGTTGGCCTCCTTTTGTTAGTTTTGATGGGATTTCTCTGTGCCTCCTAGGTCTGGATGTCTGTTTCCTTCCCCAGATTAAGGAAGTTTTTAGCTGTTATCTCTTAAATAGGTTTTATGTTCTCTCTTCTCTGGGACTCCTATAATACAAATGATATTACTTTTGATGGAGTCACTGAGTTGCCTAAGCCTATTCTCATTTTCCATAATTCTCTTTCTCGCTATTGTTCAACTTCATTATTTTCCATTATTTTGTCTTCTAGGTCACTAATTCAGTCCTCTGCTTCTTCCAGCCTGCTGTTCATTGAATCAAGCCTGTGTCCAATCTTGCGTATTGCACTCTTCATCTCTGATACTTTTGTGACTCTTTGATTTCTGTGGCAAGGGTCCCACTGATATCTTCCTTTTTTTTTTTTTTCTTCTCAAATCCAGTTGAATATTGTTATAGTTGTTGCTTTAAATTCTGTATCAAGCACGTTACTGATATCTGTTTCACTTAGATGTCTGGCAGTGGCCTTACCTTGTTCTTTCATTTGGCATTTTGTCTAAGTCTCTGCTTTCTTCTTTGTGTTCGAAAAGCCAGTCATGTCTCCTGCTCCTCAAAGTAGTGGCTTTATGAAGAAGGAGTCATGTAATGTCCAGGGCCTGATGCTTCAGGGAGGATCCCTGGTTTGTGCCGCATGTGCTCTGCTGTTGTGTTTTGCAGGGGCTCTCTTTGCCTACTGTGGGCAGTGTTTGGTCGCTGGCCTGAATGTGGTGAGTTTTAACTATGTGTGCTCTAGTCTGCTGTGAAATGAGACCTGTCACCACCCACACCAGAACGGAGGCCCTGCAGAACTCTCTGGTCAGGAGGCGTGGTCTGGGCAGGCATTTGTGCTGATCTTCTCCTGCCAGGGTTCAGGGGTGTGGGACTTGATGTAAATAAGTCAGGCGGACAACGTTGGCATTGCATTGTTTCTTGCAGATGGCTCTGTCTTTATGCTGAGGGGCTGGGGGCGTGGGGAGGGGCACACACCAGCATCTTTGTTCCTATGAATGTTGACTCTCAGTAATGAGTTCTGAGAAGTGTAACTAATCTCCCCTTTGTGTGCCCCAGCATTCTTGCAATCACAGTTTCAACATTGTCTTCCTCCAGATTGTCTGCCTGCCTTGTCTCCAGGAGCAGCGCAGTGCCCTCAAGGCTCTATTCCCGCCAAGCCTCCCGACCTTTAAAAACCCAGGCTTTAAGCCCCACTGGTTGCAAGAACTGATGAAATTCAGCCCCTCTCATTTTCCAAGCCAATGTCTTTGGAGAGATGTTCTCCAAAGGAGATTGTGCAATCTCCTATGTGCTCCCCTCTCTCTCCCTCCCTTTCCTGTGACCAGTACCCCCTCCCCTCCATAGCACCCTCCATCTATTTCTCCCTTAAAACATGTCTTCCCACCTTCTTCAATGTGGCCTCTTCTCTCGTTTTACTTGTGGAGTTTGTTTTGTCAGTCTTCAGGTCAACTTCTAAGGTATTTAGGACAATTTGACAGTTTTCTTTTTTAAACTTTTTTTAAACTTTTTTTTTAACGTTTATTTATTTTTGAGACAGAGAGAGACAGAGCATGAACGGGGGAGGGGCAGAGAGAGGAAGACACAGAATCTGAAACAGGCTCCAGGCTCTGAGCTGTCAGCACAGAGCCCGACGCGGGGCTCGAACTCACGGACCGCGAGATCATGACCTGAGCCAAAGTTGGCCACTTAACCGACTGAGCCACCCAGGCGCCCCTAATTTGACAGTTTTCTAGTTGTGCTTGTGAAATGAGAGGAGCCTGTGGCTCTCCCACTTCTGCCAGGATCTTCCTGACTCTCCAAATCCTTTTTCCTGATATTTAAATGCATGTGAGTGAAAAACATTCTTTCCAGATTGTTTCTACATTTGCTAAGTAAGTGTCAGAGAAGATCACTACTAAAAGTATTCCTGTTTGTTTTAATCTCTTAACGTTTCCATGAATGCCAAATCGCCTCTCTGATTCATTCTGCTCACCACAAATTACTGCTTTTATCTTGACATTTCCTTGCTTAAATGCATTAAATTTCTCCCTACTGCTTACAGAATAAATAAAAACATTTATCTTAATTTTTCTACTGTCCTATGATCCGATGACTGTCCTTTCTCCCCTATCTTTGATTTTGTTGATTTATGTTGTCTTTTATAGCCACTTGTCTGATCATAGCCCTTTTGTTGAACCTCGGACTTTCTTGATTACCATCCACCATTCACACTATTTCTACCTTTTGAAATAACCTTGCATTTCCTCCTTCCTTCCACCAAGTCTAAGTGATCTCTCCACGGCTGATGCCCCATCTGAACAGCTACAGCGGTCATTGGTACTTCTCTTCTTTGCACTTCATAAGGTCATTGTATCCTTTATTACTTTAAGATGTAGATGCTTTTAATGAGAGTTTTTTAAATTGATTATTATAAAGAGGGATAAACGAAAATAAATATTCAGGCTAGGTTTCTCTGGACATTTTACAGTAGACATTTATTTGTTTTGCAGTTCACAAATTGAAAAAATGCTGGATGTTACACCTTTGTATGTATCTCTTGCTCATACTGACCATTGCCATACTAGGTGAGTACCTTAGCTCATAAATTGTCTATGCTTCTCCATGCACAGTAGGGCCAAACATATCTCAGACTTAATCTTGGATTTCTCAGTCCTGGAGTAATAAAAAGGTCTTGTAGAGACAAGCCCTCAGATTCCTACCAGTTTGGCAGGTTTTACCACATTCCTTGCCTTTCTCAAAAATGCTCTTGGGGCACCTGGGTGGCTCAGTTAGCTAAGAGTCCGACTCTTGGTTTGGGCTCAGGTCATGATCTCATGGTCATGAGACTGAGCCCCACACCAGGCTCGGCTTTGACAGCCTGGAGCCTGTTTGGGATTCTCTCTTTCCATCTCTCTCTCTCTCCCCCTCCCCTCCTCTCAAAATAAAGAAACTTAAAAAAAATACTGTTGGATCTTTTCTTCGTGCTATCCATTCTGATTAGGAGAGGTGATATTCCATTGTGGTTTTGATTTACATTTCCCTGATGATTAGTGATGTTGAGCATTTTGTCACATGTCAGTTAGCCATCTGCACATCTTCCCTGGAAATAATGTCTATTTAGGTCCCCTGTTTGTTTTTAAATTGGATTATTTGGCTTTTTTTTTGGTGTTATGAGCTATTCCTATATTTTGGATATTAACTCCCTATTGGATATATCATTTGTAAGTGAATAAATAAAGAAGACGCGGCGTATATACATAATGGGATATTATTCAGCCATAAAAAGAATGAAATCTCCCCATGATGACGACAAGGATGGACTTAGAGGGTATTATGAGAAGTGAAGGAGGCCAGAGAAAGACAAATACCGCGTTATTTCACTTATATGCAGAATCTGAAAAATAAAATAAGCAAACAAAAACAGACACAAACTCAAAAAATACAGAGAACAGCCTAGTGGTCGCTTGCCAGACGGAGGGAGTTCGAGGAATGGGCAAAATAGGTGAAGGGTATTAAGAGGTACAGACTTCTTAGTTATAAAATAAATAATCATGCAGATTAAAAGTACAGCATAGGGAATATAGTGAAGTATATCATAATAACTTGGAAGGTGACCAATGATAACTGCGTTTTTCACACTGAGCATTTTCTAATGTATAAAACTGTCAGATCACTATGTTGTACACCTGCAACTAATATATGACTATACCTTAGCTAAAAAAGTGAATTAAAAAAAATTAAATAGGGTCACCTGGCTGGCTCAGTCAATAGATCATGGGACTCTTAATCTCAGGGTTATGAATTTGAGCTCCATGTTGGGTGTAGAGATCACTTAAGAAAAAACAAAAAAAACCTAAATATTCTAAATATCACAATACAGTCATCTTAATCTCAAAATACAGTCATCGTCTTGAATTATAGTTCTTAGTCTTTTTTTTTTTCAACATTTATTTATTTTTGGGACAGAGAGAGACAGAGCATGAACGGGGGAGGGGCAGAGAGAGAGGGAGACACAGAATCGGAAACAGGCTCCAGGCTCCGAGCCATCAGCCCAGAGCCCGAGCAGGGCTCGAACTCACAGACCGCCAGATCATGACCTGAGCCGAAGTTGGACGCCCAACCGACTGAGCCACCCAGGCGCCCCTAGTTCTTAGTCTTTGAGTAAGATAATTATAAATTTTCAAATGACCACCAGATGACAACACCAATAGTCATGTTTTTTTTCCAATGTTTGTTTGTTTGTTTTTTATTTTTTTTTAATTTACATCCAAATTAGTTAGCATATAGTGCAACCGTGATTTCAGGAGTAGATTCCTCAGTGCCCCTTACCCATTTAGCCCATCCCCCCTCCCACAACCCCTCCAGCAGCCCTCAGTTTGTTCTCCATATTTATGAGTCTCTTCTGTTTTGTCCCCCTCCCTGTTTTTATATTACTTTCATTTCCCTTCCCTTATGTTCACCTGTTTTGTCTCTTAAAGTCCTCATAATAGTCATGTTTTTTAACTGAGAGTACTTTGTGCAAGTTAAAGAACCAATATTAGTGACACCCGGGTGGCTCAGTCAGATGGACGTCTGACTTTTTGGTTTCTGCTCAGGTCATGATCTCACGGTTTCATGAGTTTGAGCTCTGCATTGGGTCCTGCACTGACATTGTGGTCCCTGCTTGGGATCCTCTCTCGTCCTCTCTCTCTGCCCCTTCCCCACTCATTCTTTCTCTCTCTCAAAATTTTTTGTTTAAAAAAGAACCAATATTACATACACTACACTGATTATTTTTATTTAATTCTCACAAGGCCATGACATAAGTATAATTATGAAATCCATTTACAGGCACAGAAATAGAAGCCAGAGTGAATAAGCTGCCTCTCACAAATGACAAATTCCAGAGCCAGAATGGGGACTCTTGTCTGTCTGGTTCTAATTCCTGATATTTTAACCACCAGGCAATATTGTCTTTATAACTTCAATATTTCTTTGCTCTGATTTCTTTTGGATCAAGATTAAGTTATATTACTAACAGTTGTTCTCGGAAACATTTATGATGTAAAAAAAAAAAATGTCATAGGGGCGCCTGGGTGGCGCAGTCGGTTAAGCGGCCGACTTCAGCCAGGTCACGATCTCGCGGTCCGTGAGTTCGAGCCCCGCATCGGGCTCTGGGCTGATGGCTCGGAGCTTGGAGCCTGCTTCCGATTCTGTGTCTCCCTCTCTCTCTGCCCCTCCCCCGTTCATGCTCTGTCTCTCTCTGTCCCAAAAATAAATAAACGTTGAAAAAAAATTTTTTTAAAAAATGTCATAATGGCACAAGTGATTTGTTGCAAGATTTTCTCTGTTGGAGTAGCTTTGTGAAAATGAAGATTTTCACACTTTTCTTCTGGACACTGTTGGTTCATTTTGTGAAAATAAGTCAAAGGTAGACTTTTAAATTCCTGAGCAGTGACTTTAAAATAGTCTCAGAACTTGATTTTCCATTGCATGCTTTGCTTAATACAGCACTTAATTTAGGACTTAAGTTAAAGTAACACTTAGCACCCTTGGGGCATCTGGTTGGCTCAGTTTGTTGGGCATTCAACTCTTGATTTTGTCTGAGGTCATGATCCCAGGGTCATGGGATCAAGCCCTGCATTGGACTCTGCTGATTGTGGGGCCTGCTTAAGTTTCTCTCTGTCTCCCTCTGTCCCTCTCCCCTGCTCACACTTTCTCTCTCTCTAAAATAAAAACATAAAAAAAACAGTAACACTTAGCACTCTTTATGCTTGTTTTCTTTGTCATTCACAAGAGTACTGACATTCTTTTTTTGTATAGCTTTCTGTCACTATTAGAGTCCTGGGAGTGCAATGTTACTGGTATTTAATTATCTGACAGTTAATATATTTATAGAGAAGTGTTTTTATAAGAAGTCTTTACATTCATTCATTAATTGATTATTTAAAAAAATTAAAACACAATATATTTCATTTCCTATCTGTGGTAGCCTGAATCTGCCTCTAAGTATTACCAAAACAAAACAAAAAAAAAAAAATTCATGGCAAAGTGAGGAGAGAAGGCTTTGGATTTGGCCTGACATTTAAACATTTACTTGGTTCTTTGCCAGTTACATTAACTTATTCAAACATTTGGAGGGCAGGGACTTTATCCTTTTCTGATTACTCATACTTACCTGAAACCTTGAAACATAAAATTCTCAAAACATTCTGTACAGAAATAAATTCACCATTATTCCAGCTTCTTTGGCACTGAATATTGGTGAAGGAGAAAAAATTTTTACTAACTCATATGTCAGTGATTTGTTGTCATTTATGGTGAGTTTTACTTCCCTGTCTTGGATGTCCTTTTATGTCTAGGACCATTCATTTCTGTAAGGAAAGACAAGCCTTCCTTTATTACCCTGGTCCGTGAGACCGAAATGGTATTCGTGTCTCTAGGTATCTGTCGAGTGCTAAATTTTGTGCATTATTTTGGGAGGACGTCCATATAGACTATGAGAGGCTGGTAGTTCCATTCTTCAGAGTAGAAGCCAGGGAAATCAGATGAACTATGGACTGCTCAACCCTTGAATGGTTTTCTTTACAGACAGCAAGGACTGAATTCATCCATCATTCCATGAGTGAATTTAATTTTAGAGACTGCAAACTGTGGGGGTAAAAGTGAAACTGATTAATCAGAATGAATAGAAACTCTCTTTAACTTATTTTTTGATTCTTTCTTTCTTTCTTTCTTTCTTTCTTTCTTTCTTTCTTTTTTGTAGCAACAAAACTTTCAAAGCGTTCCCAAACTATGGCATGTGAGAACGAATGGATTGGATTAAGAAAAAAGTGTTTCTATTTTTCCAGTGATACCAAAAATTGGACAGCCAGCAAAAGATTCTGCAGTTCACAGGGATCAGAACTTGCTCATATTGATACACGAGAGGATATGGTAAGAAAAGGAGAAATTTCTCAATCGTTTCAGTGCTTAAGTGTTACTAAGAGAGAATTAAAATGATAAAAGTGAATACTCTATGATGATATATACCAGACAGTGTTCTAAGCACCATAACTATAAAAACTCATGCGTTCTTCAATCCTGGTCTATGAAGTAAATACGTAAGTACCCCTATTTTAAAGATGAAGAAAGTGAGGCACAGAGCTGTTGTGTAACATAGCCTTCGTCACAGAGCCATAACTTGGTGAACTGGGATTTGAACCCACACAAATTAGCTAGTCATGCTAGGTCCTTAATCACAATGCATATTGTTTATATAGCTAAATGTCTTTATTTAATGTTTTTAGATTATTAAATAGATTGTTTTAATACTTTTACATTTTGATTCTGCCGAGAATAGCCTGGAAAAATTAAAACAAATAAAAAAGATATGGCTCTTGGAATTGAGGATAAGGATCTGAAGGAAATAGCACAGTTTGAAGAAAATGAGACAATGAATAGAAGTGAAAGAGGGCAAAGGAAGGGAAGCTTGGGCTGCATGAGCACCGAGTGAGGGAAAGGGTTTGTTTATAAAGAAAGTTGACTGTGGGGCGCCTGGGTGGTGCAGTTGGTTAAGCGTCTGACTTCAGCCAGGTCACGATCTCGCGGTCCGTGAGTTCGAGCCCCGTGTCAGGCTCTGGGCTGATGGCTCAGAGCCTGGAGCCTGTTTCCGATTCTGTGTCTCCCTCTCTCTCTGCCCCTCCCCCGTTCATGCTCTGTCTCTCTCTGTCCCAAAAATAAATAAACGTTGAAAAAAAAAATTTAAAAAAAAAATAAAGAAAGTTGACTAATGGGTTTGTGGTCCAATACCAAGGAGCCAAGAGAAGAGAAACTAAATCCATCACTCAATATATTTTGTTGCAATAAATCATATTCATCCAGAAGTTAGTCTGATTTCTGATTATGTGAGAAAGCATACAATAGCAATAATATTCTTATTCTGGTATCTACTCAAACGACAGTTGACCCTTGAACAACACAGGTTTGAACTATACAGGTCCACTTACATGCAAATTATTTTCAGTCATTACAGTAGGGCACTGAAAGTGTATTTTCTCTTCCTTATGATTTTTTTAATAACAGTTCCTTTCTCTAGTTTGTTATAAAAAATTACTTACATAATGTATGTAGCATACGAAATGTGTCAGTTGTTTCCATTAGCAGCAAGACTTTCTGTCAAAGGTAGGCCATTAGCAGTTAAGTTTGGGGGGAATCAAGAGTTATACTTGGGGGTGCCTGGGTGGCTCAGTCGGTTGAGCAACAGTCTCTTGACTTCACCTCAGGTCATGATCCCAGGGTCATGAGATCAAGCCATGCATTGGGCTCTGTGCTGAACATAGAGCCTGCTTAAGATTCTCTCTCTTTCTCTCTCTCCCTCTGGCCCTTCCCTGCTCATGCTCTATCTCTAAAATTAAACAAATAAATACATACATACGTAAAATTGAAAAAAGAGTTACATTTGGATTCTCAAGTGCACGGTGCCGTTGTTCAAGGATCAACTGTAGTTTATGACTGAGTTTTCCCATTTTAACAGTACTTATACTCTCCATTAAACTCTTTCCCCCTGAAATCCCTCCTCTGGTTTTTGAGAAAGGACCTGTGGACAAAACAAAATAGAAGCATTAGTTCTCTGTCACCCTTACAGAACATTCTGTGCCGGTTCCTACAGAAAGTGCTCACCTCCCAATTTTGTTATCCAAACAGACATAGCATCATATCAGTTTATGGTCTTTGTCATTCACTCTGGAACTAAAACGTACTGGTGGTCTATGCGTTCAAACTTGAAAGAAAGGAATTAAAATATGTTTTCCTCCTCAATAATGAGAAATAGAAATCACCCCTAAAGATGACCCAAGAGAGTGTAGCTCAGAGGATTTCAATGACTTGGTGGAAGTCACTCTATTGCTTACAAACGTTTAGGAAGTACAAGAGCAAAGTGAAAATCTTGCTGGTAAAACTAACCTCAATATCCCTACCTGTTGCTATAGAAGCAGGAGGGCATGTAGATTAGGAGGCCAATCATGAAAGATGGGATAGTGGGGGTGAGAAGCATGTTCAGCAATATGCTCAAAAATATTCAGCAGCAGATAATGCCCTGACTTTTCGTGAAAGGATTTTTTGAGGAAGCACGCAGGAACTTCTATGCACTGGATCGGATTGAACAGAAAACAAGGAGAGTCTTGGAAGTGGACCAATGGCACCACATTCAATCCTTGGTGAGTTTCCAGTTTAGTAGGAAAGGTTTTATGGCGGTGTTGTATACAAATTTAGATCATTTTAAGTTGTATTATTACAAAGAAATCTTTCTATTTGTTACGTGCAACTGCCTTCGTTAGTGTCCACCCTGTAACATGTGCCCTTTCACATTGAAACATACCTTAGAACAATCCATATCTCTTCCGCCTTGTTAAATGACACACAGTGAGGGGGGCCTGGTGGCTCATCAGCTAAACGTCCAACTTTGGCTCGGGTCATGATCTCACGGTTTGTGGTTTGAGCCTCCCGTTGGGCTCTGTGCTGACAGGTCAGAGCTGGGAGCCTGCTAAGGAATCTGTGTCTCCTTCTCTCTCTGCTCCTCCCCTGCTCATTTTCTATCTCTCTCTATCTGAAAAATAAATAAACATTAAAAAGTAAATAAATAAATAAATGACACAGTGAATTTTTTTGTTATTTTATTTTATTTTATTTTACTTGTATTGCCAGAGTCTTGCTAATAAACACTTCTCTTGATAATGCAAATTCAACTCATTTGCAAATTCTATTTTTTTTTTTTAACGTTTATTTATTTTTGAGGCAGAGAGAGACAGAGCATGAACGGGGGAGGGTCAGAGAGAGGGAGACACAGAATCTGAAACAGGCTCCAGGCTCTGAGCTGTCAGCACAGAGCCCGACGCGGGGCTTGAACTCACGAACCGTGAGATCATGACCTGCGCTGAAGCCGGATGGTCAACCGACTGAGCCACCCAGGTGCCCCAGCTCGTTTGCAAATTCTAAACCAAACCACAGGTATCACTTGCACCTTTTGAGAACTAATTGTATTTATACAACATCTCTTTGTTTTAAAGAATTAGTGATCACATAGTTGTCTTTAACTTTCCATATGCCCATCATAAACAATATTATTTAGTTGGGTAACCATTATCGAGTGAATGTTGCTTTCTCACTTATGTACTATTGCCCCTGGAAACAAGGGCTGTGTGACTCTTCTCTTGTAGCCATGTACTCCTGCCTTAGCATTTCATTAGGTTCTAGATAAACAATGGAATGAATTAAACAAATACTAAAATATGTGAGACGTGACAAATTACACTTACTACAGAAAATGGAAAAATCGATCATCAGCAGAGCAAATTAATAGAAACGATTGCAATTAGTCCCTTTGGGTTCTATCTCAGTATGTGTCAAACGTGTCAAATGAATATAAAACTTATTCCTTACCTTCAAAAAGGAACATCAGCTAAAAACATGCCAAGAAAATGCTTTAAAAAAAACTTCTAGAGATCTTTGGATTTAGCAAACACAGTCTCTCCTGATAGATGGATAGAAATAGATATAGATAGATAAATATAGATAGATATAGATATGGATATAGATATAGATGATATAGATATAGATATATAAATGATATAGATACAGATATAGATATGGATATAGATATAGATGATATAGATATAGATATATAAATGATATAGATACAGATAGATAAATGTAGGTAGATATAGACTTATATCTACATCTACGGCTTATCCATGTCTATCTATATCTATATGTATATCTGCCCTTCTACTTATTATCTTAAATAAGGTTACAGTTTATACTAATAATCATAATAATTAAGTATCTACCTTCAGTCTTCTATTCCTTTAATGTAGCAAATATTTTTGTATAGCATATAGTGATGGGTGAGTACGGAGCTGAATGTTTTGTCTGAAATGTCCCGGATCACTGGAATCTTAATTTGATTTTTGATTACAGCTGTCAGTGGTTCCCAAACTAATTGTAATTATTCCTTTTCAGGTTTGAAATTAGTGGGAATGGATCCTTTGCATTTCTGAATGCTGACGGAGTCCGTAGTTCCAGGGGATTTATTGATATCAAGTGGATTTGCAGCAAACCTAAGTTTTAATAGAGCGAAGAACTGAAAAATGGCTGTGGTACGTCTAATGGCTATTCCGTGGATTAGGAGATTATAGGGAATGCACTGCAAAGCAGAACACATTTTTGATATGTTCATTCTGGCACGTAGCCCACTGATGTATTGCACATTGTTTCCCTGAATGCATGCTTAATAAATATGGGAACTTGAGAGCAGCTCCGGGAGACTTCCCTTAGTCTTCCTGTCACCTCTTTTGATTTGCATGGAGTCTTGAGTAATCCTTTCTGCCATCTTCTGTTTTGCTGGACGAAGCCAAAACCCAAACCCACAAATGACTATCACACTTCAGAGATAAAGGAAAGGCCTAGATAGGCAACACTTACTTCTCACTTGTTATGCTATTGAATACAGAATTTTGTGGGGCACGTGGGTGGCTCAGTCTGTTAAGCATCTGACTTTGGTTCAGGTCAGGATCTCAGTGTTCATGAGTTTGAGTTCTGTGTTGGGCACTGTTGACAGATCAGATTCTGGAGCCTGCTTCAGATTGTGTCTCCCTCTCTCTCTGCCCCTCCGCTGCTCATGCTCTTCTCTCTCTGTCTCTCTCAAAAATAAATAAACATTAAAAAAAATTAAAAAAAAAAAGACTTACCTATAATACCTCAAACCATAGAACTCTTAGAAGAAAACATAGGCAGTAAGCTCTTTGACATTGGAGTTTTTTTTTTTCGACCAGTCTCCTCAGAGGCAAGAAGAAGCCAAAATAAACAAATGATATTACTCAAACTAAATAGCTTTTGCAGAGTGAAGAAAACCATCAATGAAATGCAAAGACAAATTACTGAATGAGAGAAATCATACATCTTGTAGGGTTAATATCCAAAAAACATAAAGAACTTCTACAAGGTAGTATAAAAATGATTTAAAAATGGGCCGAATAGACATTTTCCAAAGACACTCAGATGGCCAGCTCGCACATGAAAAGGTGCTCAATATCACTCATCATCAGGAAATGCAAATCAAAACCACAATGAGATAGCATCTCACACCTGTCAGATTGGCTACGATCAAAAAGAAAAACTAACAACGTAAGAATTATGTTGGCAAAGATGTAGAGAAAAGAGGATCCTTGTACACTGTTGGTTGGAAGGTAAATTGGTGCAGCCACTATGGAAAACAACATGGAGATCCCCCCCCCCCATATTAAAAATACAACTACCGTATGACTCATCAATTCCACTTTGGGGTATTTTCTGGAAAAAAAACCCCACAATTCAAAGAGATATACATACCCCTATATTCATTGCAGTATTTACTGTAGCCAAGATATGGAAGGAACTTAAGTGTCCATTGATAGATGAATGAATAAAGGTGTGAGATATATATATATATATATATATATATATATA